AGCTAATAACAGCACGGGAAAACGGAATGAGGCCGGCCTGAAAATTTCAGACACACCTCCCCCCCGTCGCGGAAATTACAATATTCCGGACGGTCCGAATTTTTTTACAATTACGCCTTCTCGTACAAAGCACGAAAATCCCGATCGAACGATTTAGCCGCCCTCGAGAGATCGTGCCTGGCTGGGGGTGAGAGAAATACATATAAACATATATATATATATATATATATATCTTTTCGAACTGCTCGGGGCCGAGCTGCGTGGCGAAGGCCCATTTGCGATGCAAGTAACTCCACACCCCCCGTGGTATCTTCCAGCTTTAGCGGGCTGCTTCCTACATGTGTGCGCGCGCGGTAGACGATGCACATGCAGCAGACGCGGGCAGAACCTATCTACCATGCACGATCGCTCGGTTGCATATAGGCCGAGACGCGCAGCACGTCATTACGCGCGCGGAAAGCAAAAAGACGAGCGGCTCGCAGCCGGCCAATCGCCGTTCGCGTGCTAATGAATCTGAACCGACCCGACCAATGGCGGTGCCCACGTACCACGCTCTCGCTTGTGCCCGATGTAACCCTCGCAGCTACGTCGCGGAACCGGCCAAGGGTGTGGTGCCCTTCGATCGGTGACTCGAGTCCCACACGATCGGGGTTGAGCGCGAATTAGCGGGGAGCTTTATGGCGCGATTTTTTCGGCTGATAATGCGCGCTACGTTAACCTCCCGGGCTGGAAATTGTTGTTGATGTCGTAAGACCGACGGACGTAACGTCGTTTCGTTTCGTTTCGTTTCGTTTCGTTTCGTTTCGTTAACGTCAATCGGGATGCCAATGCTGGACCTCATTCAGTTGTCCGCGAGAATTCCATAAAGGAGCATCTCTCGTCTCTCCTTCATCCCGATATATCGCGAAGACCGCTATTTCAGGGAGGGAGGCGCATTTCTCTCGCGGTCATCCTCGCTCAATGCGTCTAATGGTGGAGGCGACTGGAGGCGACGGCAACCAAACAGGCACCAAACAGGCACCGGATAGACCTGCTCTGCTCGGCGGCACAGCATTATAATAAAAACCGACGTTATAATAATTAAGCATGAAAATTTCCCTACGTGGGCTCGCCGTGCGCGAGTAATGTTCAACGCACGAGCGGCCACTTAAAAATTAATTCGCTTCATCAATAAGTAACTACGTGTCGTCCCTGAGGCCACCCCGGAGGTGTACGCAGCGGGTTAATACCGGAGAACTCACGCGACTACACGCATTTTTTTATCCTTCAGCCTTATCCCATGAACATTACGCACGGCCATCGGCGATTCGTTGCGTAAGCGATGAACTTGCACATTTCATCCGGACGTCCACACGTCGATACACACAGTCGAATAAGTCGCGCGCACTCGCGTGTGACTCTCCGAGAAAAATGGAATCCGCGAGATCAAAGTTCCGCCGAGACGCTCTCGTCATTCATGTCGCGCTCTCGCTCGATTCGGCTCGACATTTCAACAAGTACCACGTCTCCCGGAGGAGACGTCCTCTCATATCCCCGACGACGAGAACTTGCAAATTCCCGTGCACTTACCCAACGAAAATCAGCAATGGGTTCTCTCGGCTTCCAAGACCGCTTCGACCTTATTTGCCCTCCCCCCTCCCCCCGGCCCCGGGGGCGCGTAAGTGTGTCCTCAAAAGAGCCAGATATCTGGAGCCTCAAAAATGATCCTCTACCTCATGCGCGACGCGGCATGTAAAGTGCGTGCACGAACGCGCACATTGCCGTGCAGGAGCGCCGAGACTCGGTGCATGTGCATACGCGCGCGGCGTGCATTGCCGTCGCAGTAGAGAGCGCGGCGCGGTGCAACGGAGTCGGAGAGGCGCTCAGGGCTATCATTATGGCGGCAGTAGACACTCCCTCCTTATCGCCGGTTTCCAACGCGAGTCCCGGCCGAACGAACGAACGAACGAACGAACGAACGAACGAACGAAGGAACGAACGAACGAACGAACGCACGCTCGCAGCTTCGCTCGCTCGCCATCATTATGTTTTCCGCGGCAAGACGCACAACGACGAACGAGAGAACGAGCGCTGCGTTTCTGTGTATGCAGCATGTGCATGTGCAGCACAACGCGGGCGCGCGGGAGAGCGTGCGCGTCGCAACGGAAAGACGAGAGAGAGAGAGAGAGAGAGAGCGCATGCAGCGCGCGGGTACCGATATAAAGCGGCCCGACATAAGCGACATAAAGCCATTGCCTTGTTTTTCCTCTCGCTTCCCGTAAATCCGCATCCTCACGAGAACTGTTTCTGATACTTTGTAGTCAATATTCTAGAGAACGGACACTCTCGGAGCGTCTCGGGGGATAGAAAGTGGACTGGTGAAAAGGATACAGGGACGTCCCTGGGCGTTTGCCGCACTCAGACGAAAGTTTGGTATTTATAAGTACAACGTGGAAGAATTTGAGTCATGAGGATTATTTTCGTACAGCAGGTGTTAGCTGTAGCGATAATCATTATGCGTGTACACCGTAGCTAATTACATTTTTGTTAAAACAACGAAATGACGTAGCCGAGGCCGAGGTAACTATAAAATTTCAGCAGCGCGTTAACTGTCCTTTTCTCTCAGTGGTGAGCACAGTTATCGCGATGAATTTTCACGATGATCCTGGGCCATTTTCACGACGGTCCCGATCCTTCACGAGACAAGAATTTCTCGGTCGAGTTTACGTGAAGAGTTTCTTAAAAAATCCGGGCACTGAGAGACATTCGAACAGTACTCAAATGGTAAAGAAATGGTGAAGAAAGTACTCGGGTGCCCGGATATTCGTGCTTCGTTTCATCGATTGCAACGGCACGTTTTATTATGATATTATTAATTGATGTGTGAAAATATTACTACGCGGACATCATGATTTTCTTCAGAACGAACGAACGCGGCCACCGTGAAGAAGAAGTCTCTCTGTGCGCGAATTTTGCAGCATTATATTTTTCACTAAATAATACAGCAGTCTTGCGGTAAAAAATGGGGGAATGGTTCAAGGGAAGGAATATTCGTATCTCCGACAAATTGTTTCTTATAGCAGCGCATCAATGTAATTCTCGATACCAGAAGATACGAGGCTCAACAACCGCTCGCGCGATGTGACGGAAGAACCGCTATTCTATAAAAGTAATATGGCGGATAAGGAGGTACCCTGCGACGTTAACGCAACGCACGGGATATGAATTAGATTCAGCTGGGACATATGTCTTATATGTCGCTTTCTTAAACTCCTCTTTTTTACGACAACAGAAATTATGGCGCACACACGCAGTAGCGGCGTGTACGATCGCGGCGCCCACCAGGGCGTGGACCAGAACGCGGTCACCATTGAGCCGTACGTTCTTTCATTTCCTTAAACACAGCTCGGCGAGCTCTGATACTTTGTAATCGATAGTTGTGAGAAAGAGACATAAGCATGTAGTAGAAACTGGACTGACCGGAATGGTAGACCGTAGAAGCGCGGACATCTGTCATTATCGCGAATGATAATGGTTGCTCGGCGTAGCAGTTTATTTGTAACGCTGACGTTTGCTCCCTCCGGGGAAGATAGTTTTATTGAGAAAACGGACCTTTGTAACCCAAAGATCATTCCACGCCGACACTCTCGCATGATCCACTCGAGAGTGCATACTTCTTTGCGCGCGTAAAATAATAATTTATTGTACGGATGGGAGAAAGCGGAGGATTCCGCGATTCCGGAAACAAGGCAGCTTACTTCGAAAGGAAAAAAGATGTTTAAGTTGCTGCATTCCCCGTGAATGTAAGACCGTCTTTCTTATCAGCGACATCGTATCATCTCAGGAGAGAAAGTTCCGTTATAAGAGCACGCCGAACTGGCGTTTTGTAACCCGTAAAAAACGAAATTTCTCATCCCGGCGATGGCATCATCTAATTGCGCACGTACTTTCGCGGAAATCGTGCTGGTTTGTCTCGTCTATTCTTTATAATTTCGACGAGAGGCACTTTTATATACTTCTTGGCATCCGCGGCGTTTACATCGATATCGAGCTGATCTACCGGCTCGGCCGTTTTCCGGAAGAAATTACAGTTTCACCAAAAGGATCGAAATAACGCTCGATCGCGCGTAACGATTAAATACAACAGCCGCTATCATTATAAGCCGGGATCAGATAATGCTGAAAGCGATCGACTTGGCGGCGTTTCGCGAACGTGGAAATATAATCGCTCGTAGGGTTTGTACTATCGTTTCCATTATCATGACACGATCTGAAAGTTAATGCGCCAGTGAGATTGATTCTAACGGCGATTGCTCTGCCAATTGCGTCCTCGGGTGTATCAGCGGTATCGGTCATACGCGACAATTATTGTAATTTATTTGCTTCCTATAATGCCCAGGCCAAGCTTTAATTCGCTTACTACTTTATTAAGCGTTTTCCGTGTCCATTCGAGATACAGTTAGGCCGTTATTACCAGCGCTTGTGTGTCCGAGTATAAACACGACTGTCAGTGCAAACTATCGAGTATCTACCGAGTATTTAAGTACGCGAGTACCACCCCCGGCTGCTCGAAATAATCGAATACCTTGGGGTACTTGGGTCCACAAATCGAGGTAGCACCGAAATGGTAGCCAGCTCTACCATTTATTATTGGCTTCTTCGCGGCTGACTTCGCATCTGCTTATTTTTCCCTCGATTGCTCCAACGTTATTCAGACAATTTGCAAAATAATTGAGTGTTCTGATGATCGAAAAATATCTGAAAAATCTCAATGATACCGCAGTGATATTTGAGTACTCGACTGCTTGGGCATGTGGGGCGGGGGGTGGGGGAGTGGGTGGGGGGGGCCCACATCAATTATTACATATCGAATTATTCATCGAGCAGCCTTCCCCGCCGCTTATCTTTTCATGTGAATTCTTGTCTTATCAAACTTGTCGATCAAAGTACAGAAATAAGACAGATTCATGCAAGACCTGCACAGAATACGCGCATCTTGCGTAAGAAAACATGATCCTTACCTTCCCGGCGAATCTCTCCCGCGTAGTTCTTGCGAAATGGTTTCTCAGAGTTGTTCCGCCGAGCCGAGGGATGTCCTTCGCAGTCGGGCAGACGGCATAAATTCGCAGGTATCCACAAACGATCGGTTCTCAAGCGACAATTATTGTCCGACTCTCAAGTCGTAAACGCTGCAGTCTGGCTGGGTTTCCAAGTTTTGCGCGGCTCGGCGCGACGCCAATAATACTTGCGACAGCTGAACCGAAATATCGGGAGTGATTATTACAGCTAATTGCTGGTATTTCGCCGATCGGAAATGTGAGAGAGAATGATTTCGTGGGGCGCGATCCTTCTATTCGGGCGAGTTCGGCCGTCTCCGCGACTCGGTTGCGCGTACTAAACGTGAGATTTGGATTTTTCCAAGGAATCTTCGTCAAATTTACTTTCGCATGAGTGTCGTGGCATCCGCGTCAGAGAACGGGGAAACGTTTTTCCCAGCTTCGATAGAGTGACCGTCCGGCGAGTGACTCTCGTTGGACTGACATTTCAGACGCGGATTTTTCTTCCTTGCGTAATCAAAGAGACACAGCACCACGCGCACGAATCTATATGTTATGCAATTGAATTGTGCGCTATCGCGCGCCACACACTGGGAGTGCTGCGAGACTTTCTTCATACGGACGTAACGATAGAATCGATTGACATAATCACCTGGCGATAGATAATTCTTCTCCCCGTCCAATTTGCGATACACGAGAGAAGTCCTCCGATGAAAAGATATTCGTCGACGATCACGGCGCCTTTACGTAATCAGCAAGCAGCAACCGCGCGCGTTCTCTCCGTTGGAAAATGCGTTTACGATATTGCCCGATATTGCTCCTTTCAGTTCCTCTCATGCTCCACTCATGGACTCGAACGCCATGTGTAGCCGCCGCCACCTTACGTCCGTGCGATGTGATGTCTATCATTAAACGCGGCTGCAACAGATGCGCAATGACCGTTAAGTATATGAATCTCGAAGGGAATTTAGGAATCAGCGAGGCTGAGCGCGACGACGCTCGACGGACGCAGTTCGCCAATTCCGCGGCGGCGGAACAATACTAAGCGTGTACACGCAGCCAGCGCGACATGTGTGCCATGCCGGCTACGTCTTCATCGCGCACGAGAGGAAGGCCTTTTTTCACCGGGAGCCGTCGAGGGCCACTCTAAACAAAGCCACGGCGATGCTACGTAACATTGTACGCACGGCGATCGCCGATACCCGTCGCCCAGCCGCGATCAATTCGCGAATAAGTCGTCAGAAACGCAACTGGTGTTCTTACCCGCTGATTCCTGCGCGATGGAAAGTGACGTTGACGCTCGGCCGGAACACGTGCCCGTCAGCCCGTCACCGTCCCTTCAGCCTCCCGGAAGAGTTCCGCCGAGCGGAACTCTTCATCTCTGATCGATCATTCGACAGGGAAAAGAAAAAAGAAGGAAAACGATCACTAAACTGCATGAAAACTTCACTGCGTCGCACCTCTGCCGGAACAACACACGTGGTCGGCCGCCATCTTCCATCGCGTACGATACACTCACGCCACGAAGAATTCACGGGAAGTCGGCGGGGAACAGCGAGAGGACAGGAACAAACGGTTCACTCTCGAAAAGAAGCGTCGCGATACGCGCTGGCGCGGGTGTTCCGGAAACGTGCGGTCCCGAGAGCTCTTCGTGACTTTCTTCCGATCGCTACTTTTTTTGTCCGCGCCGACCGCCATGTCTCTCGGTGCCTCACACCACGAAGAAAGTCCTCCACCGCAAAATCGAACGGAGGAAGTGCGAGCGAAGAAGAGGAAACGCGCTCTGCCGTGGCAGGAGCATGTGACAATCCGCTCGCATCGAGGACCGAGGAGAGACTCTATAAGGTGGTTTCCATCCCCCAATAGCACGGCTGGCGCGCTGGCGGCCTCGACGCTGCAATCATTCCCCGGTAATGATTGTCATTACCGGGCACGGGAGGGCGAGCGAGAGCGGGTGGACGAACGGGGCAAAGGGATTGGCCTGCATTGCGATTGCGTTTCTGTCTGGTCCCATTGGCCGACAAACTGCGACTACGAACGCGTCTGTCCCTCGGTGGACGACGACGACGACGACGACGACGACGACGACGACGACGGCAATGGCGACGATGACGACGACGACGACGGCGACGATGACGACGACGACGACGACGACGGCGACGATGACGACGACGACGACGACGACGACGACGGCGACGGCGACGATGACGACGACGACGACGACGACGACGACGACAAGCTGCATCGCCGACGGTGATGGAGGCTAAGTAATTCCCCTTTTTTCGGCGATCTTCATTTGATAGGGATACACACCGTAATCGCGGACAATCGTTGCTCCGATTGTCGGAGCCGTGAGCACTTTCGGAGAGCAGCTGAGAGGGACTGCAGTCGATGAAGATTGTGTTTATCGATTTTTGCTGCTCGCGGAGAGCGAAGAGGGAGCTTGAGCCGCGTTTTTGCGAACGACGCAGGCGGTGGACTTTGATTAAAGAGCCGCGGGATGAAGCTTGTAACAAATTGTTGCCAATGCGGCCGACGGGAATGTTGTATCGCGTTCGAAGCTTCTTCAGGCTGGCGAAAGGAAACCCCGTCGGGAGAAGCCGCTCGGCAGAGTCGAACGAAGCGCGACGTCTCGCCGAATTATCGCCTATTAACGGTGGCGATCCGTTAAGCAACCGGCACTCTTCGGGTCTCGATTTTCGGGCGATTCTCCCGGGATTAACGAAAGCCGCGTAACCGCCGCGACAAAGTCGCGAATTCACGCGGACGGTTCGCGGCGTGTCTGCGACACTCGGAGGAACGCGCCATCCCCGGCGAAAGCAACCCCATCCGCGCATCTCGTCGCGTGCCCATTCATTAGCGGCGCTCACGTGTGGCCATTGAGTGGAATGCAAGCATTGAGCGAATTAACCTGAGATGCTCGGCTAACTTTTCTCAATGGGGGATTACCGGCCCCCCCCTCCCCCCCCCGCGCTCGCATCGGCCCTTTCTAAGTCGCCGATAATAAATACGCCATTCAGGCGACTTACGGCGACACGCTGCGACGGCGTTCTTTCCCACGCTAACTGGCTCTTAACGCACCGCGACTCTTCTCGCCCACTTTCCACCAGACTGTTCTCCATGAGAGTCCCTTTACTTCCTGGAAACATCATGACTCGTTACGACAAGTCTGAGATCGCTCCTTCAACTTCGCGTGGAAGTCCAGGTACCTGACGCAACACGCGAAGACGCTTACCCCACGAGCGAATAATCTCAAATTGTAAAACAGCTCTTGTCTCGACGCCGTACATATAGACGCAATAGAGTTTTATATTAGAGGTCGTCGGTCGCGCGCGTGGTCGAGAGGAGGGAGCGTACAATTAACAGATTTACTGCACTAAACGTTATCAAGCCAACGAATCGGTTGTGCGGATTCAAAGTGCCGGCGAAAAGAATGGAAGTCGCCCAAGGGTGAGAGGCATGGAGGCACCAAGAGGACACATCAAAGCAACAGATATCACGGTAGGGGCCTTTCATGGCAGCCATTGTCACGTTACTTCTGCGTGGCCGAACGTCATTTGCACTCACACCCCCGCGATGATTTGAGGGCAACCGAGCTACCGACCCAACCCCTCGTGGGTTGTTGGGGCCATTATGTTGCAGCAGCGTCGATCCGTTGTCAAGTCGCTCCTGGATCAATCTGGCGATACGCGCGCAGCTCCTCGCATGTGTCGATATATCGACTGGCGCACGCTCCTGACGCATTAGTGCGTCACTTGTATTTTCCGGACGAGGAATCGACAAGTGCGATCGAGGAATCGGCCGCGAATCCGTCGCGTCGTCTCCCCATTTTGACGCGCAAAAATATCCCCGTTGAAATTGTGATATTTATTATTTTCGCCGATCGGCACGACGATTTCGATGCGCCGCTTTCAACACGAGCGAGTTTCGGCGCTGCTCCGTCAGCTCCGTTCTCGGAAGAAATTCCTTGTAAATTTGCGAACGATTTGCGCACAGGGAAAGAAAGATGCGAGAAGCCCGAGACATTTTATGGACACGGCGTTCGCATGAGAAACGGGGCGAGGGGTTAATTCTCCGTCGCGGCACGTTACATTTCGCGCGATCTTGAGAGCGCGTCGCGTCGCGTCGCGTCGCGTCGCGTCTCTGCAAAGTGCACAAAGTGTACTTTCGAGACAGGGCGGAAAATCGGTTCGCCCCTAAAATCCGCGACGAGGAAAATCGGCCGTGCGATCTCACGCTCGATTATCTCCGCGAGCGACATTATCGAGCCATTAGGGCCGCGCCGTCAGGCACGCCGATGACGCTCTCGTTGCGTCGCCGACTCGTCATCGGACTCGAAATTCCAGCGTGGGCGGGCGCGACGAAATGGCTGGTCTCCCTTCTAAGAGTTCCTTTCCACCTCGTCCTCATCCTTGTCCTCCTCTCCTGCGCCATCGCGACTCGCGCCTCCTCGCGCGACGGCCGCATTAAGCACTTCGCAACGACAATTTGCGATACATTTGCCGGAGGCGCGAGCGCGCGCGAGCGCGCGCGCGCGCGCGCGCGACTTCTCGCGTTCCATCTCGCCGCAGAAAGTTTCCCGAAGGGGAGGGTGATGAGAGAATTTTTCCACCGACGTCGTCGTCGGCGCATCCTAAATTCGCCGCGAGCCTCACGGAGCCGCCTCGACGTCGCTTAACGTCTTTACTTCCTGCCCGTGGAAGCGACATTTATTTCTTCCCGTGGATGGAAGTGTCATTTGTCGCGCGGGGAAGATGGTGGCGCAGCCGACGACGCGGTAATTTTGAGCGAGCGTACAAGCTTGCAAGCAACGACCGCGGAAAACGTTTTCGGAGACTCGCTGAATATATAATAGCTGAATAAGTTGCCAATTAAACGATATTCGAACTGATCGAATCACCATCGAGTGCTTCTTCGCCGGAGCCGATCCATCACGTGTCGGCGCGTCAGCGAGTGAAACGCTGTTAAAGTCGGATCGGCCGAACTAAAGCTCGACTGAGGTCGAGTGTTCACTTAACCGCGTCTCTTGGGCTCAGATATGATTGGCCGGTGATATTCATAGCCGGTAACGGCAGACGATAATTGAGCCTATCCTCAAAAAGCGTCCATCAGCGCTCGGGTTACAAAGCCGCTTTCTGCGCTTTCGCACCGCCAAGTAGGGAACCCACGAAAGTCAGTAACTCGAGCAACGAATACGCCGGTGGATTGTTAATTAGGAGAGAGACCCAAGTTTGCGAGGTAATCAGGAATCGCATTTCACCGGTGTACCGATGTGCCGCGCACCAAGTCGATTCATCAGCGGGGCCAACGGTTGTCATGGGGATGCGACCCGCCCCTTATACCAACCCCATGCAAACTGCGCATGGTTTCCCGAAAACTGCCTCCCTCGCCTTGCCGAGGTGCACGCGAGAACGCAGTTCCTTCAGATATATGGCCGCGAAATTTCTCTTAGCACCGTTCCTAATTACAGCTGGCTATCTCGGAATTATATATATTACAATGTACTCTCGCTGAAGGATGTTGCAGCGGGCATATATTCACGTGTGTGTGTGTGTGTGTGTGATTTCCAAATCGCACACTTCGCACAAATCGCGTACTTTGAAATACAAGAACGATACGAGAGTATTTGCCGAGTGAAGCTGAGTAATAACGTGTACTAAATTTTGCGCTCATGACCGCCAATTATCTTGCGTACGGAGGAGGACGGTCGGAGTAGTGGGAGGTTTCCAATTATGCGAAACAAAAGTAGCGCAGCTGGAACAACACACGCGGGGCGGACAAAAAGATGGCTTCGTCATACCGCGGCAATTCAAGCACCCCGACAGAAGAGTCTTAAAAGCCTCCCCGGTACGTTTAAGGGCTCGTAATAATCTCCTACGAAAGTCAGCGTCTGAGATGGTCCTTATCGGCTGCAACGATCTCGGTCGCACGAGTATTTCCCGAGATATCGATCTGTGCCTGGAGTCAATCCGTACCTGGACTGTGCGCTGCACTCGAAGTCGAAGTCGCTTTCACGTTGACGGCTTCGTCACTGAATAATTTCTCTGACAGCGTACCATTTTCACAATCCCGTGCATATGTTATTTCAAAAATTTGGCAAAGATCATGCATTTTGGTTAATATTGAAAGACGAAGGAGATTTACCAAATTTTCTCCTCACTCCTTTGAAAATTACCGATTGCGATTCTGCGATCCGTATCATTGCCGTCGCTTCAATCATTTTCAGCTACTACAAAGATCTCATCAATTTATTTATCGTCACTTTTACGAACGACCACTCAGCTGGAAAGACACCCACAACGATATGTCCCCTCAACCGTTGAGAATCTGTAATTGCGCGGCAGGCAGACACACGCGTAAAATTGATCACCCTCTTCCGGCGTTAGAGAAATCTACGGGCTCCCGTTTTGGCATCGAACGGTGAGGATTCGCGTCTCGCCCACGCGGGGAAATACACAGTGCCGCTGATACCGATCCCTTTCTCCTTCACAACTTTGTGCAACGCTCCCACGATTAATGCAGGTGACACTCCTCGCGAGGTATCCGCCGCATACATCTACCGCAGTTATCGGATAAAATAATTTTCAGCTGAAACTACGCACATTACTCGCATATACACCCGTGAAGATTCAACGCTCAGCCATGTGAGAAACTGTATGCAAATATTGAAAGTAATGTTGAAAGTAAATTAATAAATAATTTAATTGATTTAATTAATATATATAAACTAATAAGTAATACTGAAAGTAAAATCTAAAAAAAATTTAATTAGTTTCGGAGCAGAGTTTGAATGGATAAAAGTAACAGCGTGACGAGCGAAAATAATGTGTCCTAATGACACGTTTAATTCAGTATCGGCGGTGTTAATATTGTCGTGTGTCTTCCACGTGTCGTCACATTGTGAATTACATCGC